ACTCACTCTTTTTCCCTCATCAATTCTATGATTCACCTCATCTTTCATAGACCCATCCGCTGACACGTCTACTCCCAAATATCTGAATACGTTCACCTCCTCCATACTCTCTCCCTCCAATCTGATATTCAATCTTTCATCACCTAATCTTTTTGTTATCCTCATAACCTTACTCTTTCCTGTATTCACCTTTAATTTTCTTCTTTTGCACACCCTACCAAATTCATCCACCAATCTCTGCAGCTTCTCTTCAGAATCTCCCAAGAGCACAGTGTCATCAGCAAAGAGCAGCTGTGACAACTCCCACTTTGTGTGTGATTCTTTATCTTTTAACTCCACGCCTCTTGCCAAGACCCTCGCATTTACTTCTCTTACAACCCCATCTATAAATATATTAAACAACCACGGTGACATCACACATCCTTGTCTAAGGCCTACTTTTACTGGGAAAAAATTTCCCTCATTCCTACATACTCTAACTTGAGCCTCACTATCCTCGTAAAAACTCTTCACTGCTTTCAGTAACCTACCTCCTACACCATACACTTGCAACATCTGCCACATTGCCCCCCTATCCACCCTGTCATACGCCTTTTCCAAATCCATAAATGCCACAAAGACCTCTTTAGCCTTATCTAAATACTGTTCACTTATATGTTTCACTGTAAACACCTGGTCCACACACCCCCTACCTTTCCTAAAGCCTCCTTGTTCATCTGCTATCCTATTCTCCATCTTACTCTTAATTCTTTCAATTATAACTCTACCATACACTTTACCAGGTACACTCAACAGACTTATCCCCCTATAATTTTTGCACTCTCTTTTATCCCCTTTGCCTTTATACAAAGGAACTATGCATGCTCTCTGCCAATCCCTAGGTACCTTACCCTCTTCCATACATTTATTAAATAATTGCACCAACCACTCCAAAACTATATCCCCACCTGCTTTTAACATTTCTATCTTTATCCCATCAATCCCGGCTGCCTTACCCCCTTTCATTTTACCTACTGCCTCACGAACTTCCCCCACACTCACAACTGGCTCTTCCTCACTCCTACAAGATGTTATTCCTCCTTGCCCTATACACAAAATCACAGCTTCCCTATCTTCATCAACATTTAACAATTCCTCAAAATATTCCCTCCATCTTCCCAATACCTCTAACTCTCCATTTAATAACTCTCCTCTCCTATTTTTAACTGACAAATCCATTTGTTCTCTAGGCTTTCTTAACTTGTTAATCTCACTCCAAAACTTTTTCTTATTTTCAACAAAATTTGTTGATAACATCTCACCCACTCTCTCATTTGCTCTCTTTTTACATTGCATCACTTCTACTTTGTAAAAACTTCTCATATGCTAACTTTTTCTCCCTTACTACTCTCTTTACATCATCATTCCACCAATCGCTCCTCTTCCCTCCTGCACCCACTTTCCTGTAACTACAAACTTCTGCTGAACACTCTGACACTACATTTTTAAACCTACCCCATACCTCTTCGACCCCATTGCCTATGCTCTCATTAGCCCATCTATCCTCCAATAGCTGTTTATATCTTACCCTAACTGCCTCCTCTTTTAGTTTATAAACCTTCACCTCTCTCTTCCCTGATGCTTCTATTCTCCTTGTATCCCATCTACCTTTTACTCTCAGTGTAGCTACAACTAGAAAGTGATCTGATATATCTGTGGCCTCTCTATAAACATGTACATCCTGAAGTCTACTCAACAGTCTTTTATCTACCAATACATAATCCAACAAACTACTGTCATTTCGCCCTACATCATATCGTGTATACTTATTTATCCTCTTTTTCTTAAAATATGTATTACCTATAACTAAACCCCTTTCTATACAAAGTTCAATCAAAGGGCTCCCATTATCATTTACACCTGGCACCCCAAACTTACCTACCACACCCTCTCTAAAAGTTTCTCCTACTTTAGCATTCAGGTCCCCTACCACAATTACTCTCTCACTTGGTTCAAAGGCTCCTATACATTCACTTAACATCTCCCAAAATCTCTCTCTCTCCTCTGCATTCCTCTCTTCTCCAGGTGCATACACGCTTATTATGACCCACTTCTCGCATCCAACCTTTACTTTAATCCACATAATTCTTGAATTTACACATTCATATTCTCTTTTCTCCTTCCATAACTGATCATTTAACATTACTGCTACCCCTTCCTTTGCTCTAACTCTCTCAGATACTCCAGATTTAATCCCATTTATTTCCCCCCACTGAAACTCTCCTACCCCCTTCAGCTTTGTTTCGCTTAGAGCCAGGACATCCAACTTCTTTTCATTCATAACATCAGCAATCATCTGTTTCTTGTCATCCGCACTACATCCACGCACATTTAAGCATCCCAGTTTTATAAAGTTTTTCTTCTTTTCTTTTTTAGTAAATGTATACAGGAGAAGGGGTTACTAGCCCATTGCTCCCGGCATTTTAGTCGCCTCATACGACACGCATGGCTTACGGAGGAAAGATTCTTTTCCACTTCCCCATGGACAATAGAAGAAATAAAAAAGAACAAGAGCTATTAAGAAAAAGGAGAAAAACCTAGATGTATGTATATATATATATATACATGTGCGTGTCTGTGAAGTGTGACCAAAGTGTAAGTAGGAGTAGCAAGATATCCCTGTTATCTAGCGTGTTTATGAGACAGAAAAAGAAACCAGCAATCCTACCATCATGCAAAACAGTTACAGGTTTTTGTTTCACAGTCATCTGGCAGGACGGTAGTACTTCCCTGGGTGGTTGCTGTCTACCAACCTACTACCTATAATAACTTGTAATAATAATAACTTGCAATAGTAATAATAACTTGTAATAATAATTTGTAATAATAATAATTTGTCAGAGCATCATTCTTTTTAAAAATTACATGAGAATGAAAGTGTTGGTCTTTATTTATTTTACTGTATCAACGTGGAGACAACTTGTACACAATGTAAAATGTTTGTATTATGGTACAGTGGAGCCTCAAATATCGAACTTAATCCGTTCCAGGAGCTAGTTCTAAATTCGAAAAGTCTGAAAAGCGAAGCAATATTTCCCATAAGAAATAATGAAAATACAATTAATCCATTGCAGAAACCCAAAAATATTCACAAAAAAAAATACATTTTATAGAGATTAATTATAGTTTTACATACACACAACAAATATAGTGTTCAATTGTGTATTAATAAATTTAAATAAACATATAAAATAACATTTTTTACTTACATTTATTGAAGATTGGTGATGGCATCTGGAAGATAGGGAGGAGGAGAGAGGGAGTTGGGGTTAGTGTTTGGAAGGAGAATTCCCCCTCTATGAGGACTTCAGGTATCAAAGCCCTCTCTGGGGTTACTTCCCTTCTCTGTATTTTAATGCCACTAGGACCAGCTTGAGAGTCACTGGACCACTGTCTCGCAAAATAACTGCCTACAGTCCTCTGTTTCTGTCTCAAAATAACTGTCCACAGTCATCTGTTTCTGTCTCACAAAATAACTACCTACAGTCCTCTGTACATCCTGGCAAGCTCAACAAGTCTCACACCACTCTCATACTTCTGTATTATTTCCTTCTTCACATCTATGGTGTTTCTCACTTTCTTTACCACAGGGGTAATACTAGCAAGATTCTTTGGGCCCATGGTAGCTTATTTCACAGTCCCACAAGCGCTAAACACAATGAAATAATCGTAAAATGTTTGAATGAGAGTGCAGGTTAGTGTTCACTCAAGCATCAGCAAAACCAGACTGGCTCACTGCGCCTGCGCGGGTACGCGGACAGAGCGGGCTGGCGGACAGGTCCAGTACCCGGCGGTTCAAAATTTAGGGCGAGTTTGATAATAGGGACAAAGTTAGTTCGAAAAAAGTGTTCAATTTTCGAAAAGTTCGATAAGTGATACATTTGAAATTTGAGGTTCCACTGTATAATTCAAACATGTATGAACGAACACCAGACGTGTTCACCTGGTTTGTTTACATTACGTGTGGGTGGGGTGGGGTGAGGTGAGGTGGGGAGGGCTGCCTTGGCTGGCTACCATACTTCCCAAAACTGACTTCCTACAAATAAAGCTCATCTCTCACCCTGCATTAAGACTACAAATATGTACTTAATGAATGTACTGTATATTTTATCGCTCTGGGACGCTTTAATTAAACGTTGTAGCACACTAAATGTGGGTGGGGTGGGGTGGGCTGATTTGGCTTGCTACCATACCTCCCTAACCTGACTTCCTACAAATAAAACTCACCTCTCACCCTACATTAAGACTACAAATATTTTAAGGTAAGTACTGGGTGTACTGTGTGTGTATTATACTTTTTATTGTTTTTAATGCCTAGTTCTATTGCTAACTTAATATATGTTAGTGTAAGCTTGTTATCTGGCATTTATATGCATTTATAAGTGGAAAAAATGGCATTCTGCTTTCCTGTGGTCTGCTTTCCAGCAGTAGCTTGGAACCTAACTTTCCGTATAAGTGGGGCCCTACTGTACTTGGGAAGTGAATGTATACCAGTGAGGGAATTCAAACTCATGCCACAGCAATGCTGCAACTGCAACCCAGTGAAGTATTCATGATCATAGACAGTGTCTAATCTGTAGACGAGTACATTATAACAGCCGGACTTGCATCTGGTTCCCCACCCCATTCTCTCTTCTTGCCTGGACTACAAAGAAGCATATCCCTTGTTTTCCCATCAGTGCCCCATTTCCCTTTGGAAAGATGAGCTCTAGTGTTTGAAAGAAAATTATTGTTTGTTATAACCAGATTACACAACACACAAACAACCCATACATAGGATAATGAAACTTAAAACATCGCTTTGGTCCAACTTGGACTATTAACTAGTAACCAAATTGTTTATGTATTTATAAATTGCAAAAGTATAAAATTTGTTATCATGAGGACTTAAACTTTGTTTTCCAATGTCTCCCAATTCTTGAATCAATGAAATTAGTACAAAAAAAAAATATATATTCCAGGTTTCCATTGTCTGACATACTTCTTATGAAAAAATGGCTTCACGCAATGAAAATGGATTTCGTTCCAAACCAGGACCATTTTTTGTGTAGTGACCATTTTGCTGAATCGGATCTAGACCGCACGGGGCAGATCGTACGCCTGCGAGAGGGTGCTGTTCCTTCATTGTTTGATTTGCCTTCATACTTGATAGAGGTTAGTAAGAATTATCTACAATTTTATTATTATTTTTTATTAACACACTGGCCGATTCCCACCAAGGCAGGGTGGCCCAAAAAAGAAAAACTTTCACCATCATTCACTCCATCACTGTCTTGCCAGAAGGGTGCTTTACACTACAGTTTTTAAACTGCAACATTAACACCCCTCCAGAGTGCAGGCACTGTACTTCCCATCTCCAGGACTCAAGTCTGGCCTGCCGGTTTCCCTGAATCCCTCCATAAATGTTACTTTGCTCACACTCCAACAGCACGTCAAGTATTAAAAACCATTTGTCTCCATTCACTCCTATCAAACACGCTCACGCATGCCTGCTGGAAGTCCAAGCCCCTCGCACACAAAACCTCCTTTACCCCCTCCCTCCAACCTTTCCTAAGCCGACCCCTACCTCACCTTCCTTCCACTACAGACTGATACACTCTTGAAGTCATTCTGTTTCGCTCCATTCTCTACATGTCCGAACCACCTCAACAACCCTTCCTCAGCCCTCTGGACAACAGTTTTGGCAATCCCGCACCTCCTCCTAACTTCCAAACTACGAATTCTCTGCATTATGTTCACACCACACATTGCCCTCAGACATGTCATCTCCACTGCCTCCAGCCTTCTCCTCGCTGCAACATTCATCACCCATGCTTCAGACCCATATAAGAGCGTTGGTAAAACTATACTCTCATACATTCCCCTCTTTGCCTCCAAGGACAAAGTTCTGACTCCACAGACTCCTAAGTGCACTGCTCACCCTTTTCCCCTCGTCAATTCTATGATTCACCTCATCTTTCATAGACCCATCCGCTGACATGTCCACTCCCAAATATCTGAATACATTCACCTTCTCCATACTCTCTCCCTCCAATCTGATATCCAATCTTTCATCACCTAATCTTTTTGTTATCCTCATAACCTTACTCTTTCCTGTATTCACTTTTAATTTTCTTCTTTTGCATACCCTACCAAATTCATCCACCAACCTCTGCAACTTCTCTTCAGAATCTCCCAAGAGCACAGTGTCATCAGCAAAGAGCAACTGTGACAACTTCCACTTTATGTGTGATTCTTTATCTTTTAACTCCACTCCTCTTGCCAAGACCCTCGCATTTACTTCTCTTACAACCCCATCTATAAATATATTAAACAACTACGGTGACATCACACATCCCTGTCTAAGGCCTACTTTTACTGGGAAATAATCTCCCTCTTTCCTACATACTCTAACTAGAGCCTCACTATCCTCGTAAAAACTCTTCACTGTTTTCAGTAACCTACCTCTTACACCATATACCTGCAACATCTGCCACATTGCCCCCCTATCCACCCTGTCATATGCCTTTTCCAAATCATAAATGCCACAAAAACCTCTTTAGCCTTATCTAAATACTGTTCAATTATATGTTTCACTGTAACCCCCCCCCCCCCCCCCCCCCCCCCAAAAAAAAAAAAGTCATCATCATTCAACATTTTTCACCCTCACTCATACATAATCACTGTCTTTGCAGAGGTGCTCGGGTATGACAGCTAGACATCCCTCCAAACTGCCAATATCCCAAACCTAAAATAAATATTTTGGGTGTTAATGGTACTTTGTTAGAATAAAAATTAATTACAGACAGTTGTGAATTTTGACAGTGCAGTTAAAATCCCTAAATAACCAACTGGAAGTAATTATGAACTCTTTGGCCTCTTGAGCAATTATTTTAAAATTACTGTACTGTACAAGAAACCCAACATTACCATACAACAGAGCATTACTGTACCACAAAACATTACAATAAAACATTACCACACAACAAACCATTGCCTCACAACAAACCATTATTGTACAATAAAACATTACCATACAAGAATTAAAATGTTAATGTACAGGAAACAACACATTACCACACAAGAAAAAAATTATTGTATAAGAAACAATGTTTTGTACGTCAAAACATTTATTGTTCATTAAGCATAAAATTACCATACATTACACAATAGCCCAGACCATGCATTAAACAAAAGTCTACATGCAGACAAAACATACACTGAACAGCTCGCAGCTCTTTTGCAGGACTACTAGCCAGCTCTCGGTTCTTTTGCTTGACTGCTTACCTACAGCCACTCAAAGTACCCTGAACTCGCTACATACTTGAAAATGGCTTCTCTTTGAGCACTTTGGCCTACAAATATTAGCATACAGGTATACTCAGCTTGTGTTCTCTCACATATCTGATTGTTGAATGTTTGAAATAGGTAGTTGATGTTCATTTTGGTTATTATTTTCTAGGGTTAGGTAAGGTTTGTCAGGAAAAAAGACAAGCGTTTCCTAACCCAGGTCTTAGTCAGATGACCCGCCGTTGGAGCTTTTGGTCATCTGACAGAGGCCTTCCACTGGCTTACTGGTCCACCCCTTTAAAAATTAGGGTCATAGTTATAACCATTTAGTATCTGTTATTTTCTGCATAGCTTGCAGCAGCTTGTGTATCACTGCTCGCTCTCTTAAAGAATTCTCATTTTGCACCCTTTCCCCCTCTGATATTGGGAATGACATTGATTTATATTACAGATATGGAATTTTTATTGCCCTGTTTATCCTTAACTTACTTTTTACACAATCCAGGTAAGTGACACCTGAGAATCTTATGCAGAATTGGACTTCAAGAAGTGCTTAATTCATCAGCTAAATTTTACTAGACTGAGGGAGACGTTGTAATATAGTGTTCATTAATAAAGCATTCCTCTGTTGTTGTGAGCTTATAAATTTTGGGTTAAGCTTCTTTTTCTATTTCTTTACAGGATCTTGGTAAAAACAAGAATCATGAAAGAAAACTGCTACTGAAAGAAGATTCCAGTGCAATGATAGAAAAAGCAGAGATAGATTGTCAGAAATCATGCAAGACTATTACTGAATGCCATAGAAATGGAAAGCAGGATCTTAAATCAAATAATGATTTGTCTACCTTACCTTCTCTTATGAAAGATAATGCACGTGTCTTTACTGACTTACAAGAAACTGAGTTAGTGAAATGTATCAAGGAAGCTGATCTACTCTTTAATAAAATGACACTCAAAGAACTTAGAAAATTTGTGTATGATTTTACTGTTAAATTCAATGAAGTTATTGACATTCCTTTATGGGATTTTGATGGTTTAGCTGATACTGCCTGGTACAAAAGATTTATTCAGAGACACCCTTGTATATCTAAAAGGAGAGTAAATAAAAAGGGTATTCGAGAAATAATTTTCAACTCTACTAGTATAAATTATATCTTAGACACAGTACCAGATTCAGTCCTTGCAAGCAGAAATCCTAAAATATACATCAGCAAAGAAAACCCAATGACTCAATATAGCAGACCTTTAGACAAAAAGTTCTTAGATACTTCAGATAATTTTTTATTAAAAATAGATTGTGTGTATGCTTCCAAGAAGGATAACATTAAACATGAATGGCTCTATAACAATAATAATAATAATGCAGAAGCTAAAGCTAAGGATGATGATCTGTTAATTGGAAATGTGTGTCACAGTAAGAAGACTGGAAATTCTGGAAACTTTCAGAATGAATTTAATGCTGGAGAATATGTTTTTGTAGTAGATAATAGTGCATTTTTAAAGGAAGAAAAAGGTATTAGTATAAAGGAAGAGAATAGTGTGTGTATCAGTAATGATGAATACTCTAGTATACAGATACCAAAGGTGCATATAAAAGAAGAGGATGACATATTTGTAAGTGGAAAAAACTCGTGTACAATTGAAAATGTATCTCTAGAGAAAGACAATCATGTAATTGTAAAAGAAGAAAATGATTATTTTGTTAAAGAGGAATTCTTTGCAAAAGACGAATATGCATCTTAATGAAGGAATTGGTTGCCTTAAAGAATAAATTGTTTTCTTTATAATGATAAATAGATCACTTAAACATTTTATTTCCCTTAATAGTGAAGTATTGCAATGCACATTCTTTGATATGTTAGATAATGAAAGTTATTTTATATAATTTTTGCAAGATGAAGTTGCAAATGGCTCTTGTGAAAAAAAATTGAATTGAATTCAGTGTTGATGGGAAGCAAATCTTTAGGTGATATACTAAAAATACTGTACAGTAAAAGGAGATAATTATTTACTCAACTTACAGTAGGGCAAGAACAATGAGAGCCTAACTCCTTGAGTGTCCAGACCCCCAATCTGAAAAGTGTCCAAGAATTTTCATGAATTCCATTGTCAATTTTCAGTCCCAAAGAAACAGAAGAAATACCGTTATGCATTACTGTAATAATTGTATAAACGTCAGTGCATTTGTGAACACACATTAAACCAACCAGTTGGACATGTATTGGACAAGTGACATGATTTGTTTACTCTGGAATATTTGCCAAAATTTAACATTTCCACTACTTTGAACTCAGTTTCAAGCTATTTTCAGTCTTCAAACCAGTCAAAATTGTAGTCGTTTTCATTACTTCATTTCCAGTTACATGAAAAATCCAGGTTTACAAAGCGTGATGTTATAGTGGCAATGAAATATTTTTTTATCAGCTGAATTTTTGTAATGTATCTTCCATTCTATCAAATGAGATTAGGAACTGTGAATATCACCATAAAAACCATATGAAAATACACTGCAAAGTTGCTGTTTTAAACCAAAAACACAGTTGCAGTTTTTTCTCATGTACTGTGTGCTGCAGGATTTTTTATATGGTTTACACTTACTGCATAGACCCATTCTCTCATATCTAAAGCCCAAATTTATCTCACACCTTACCTGAGTAAGCTGAGCTCATGGCATAGTACTAGGGCATGGACACTTGGTTTCAAAGCCGTAGAACTACAGCACAGACACTGAAGGGGTTGAGCAATACTGTTTTTAATGTTTATGATTTTTTTTTTATTTATATAGAAGATACTTATCACAAATTAGTACAGAACATATAATTTTTTAATACAGCCTCTCCTCACTTAATGACGAAGTTCCATTCCTAATACCATGTCGGTAAACAAATTCTTTGTTCAGTGAGAAGCATACTATAATGGTAGTGGGTTTGTGTCAGCCATCTTTGATGTTGTTTTACTGTCACTTTTGCACCATTTATAAGATTTCTGGTATATTTTTAAATTATTATACAATAGTATACTGTATATTGTAATAAAAAGAATAAAGGAAATCAGCTCTTAATATACATTATTTATGTGTGCATACTGGTCAGTGAGTCTGTCATAAGTCCAAGTCATCGGTAAACGAGTACCTCGCTAAGTGAGGAGAAGCTATATAATCCAAAATAAATCTTATTTTCTTACTTTTTGAAGATTTATTTTTCCTAGATATTTGGTGATGTGCAAAATACTGATGCCCAGTGACTGGTGCCACATAATAAGTAGAAGTACGCAGGGATACCTTGCTAATACTTCACTAATACGGTGCATTTCAATTACGTATATTCATGTTTATATGTCAGCAAAGAAAACTCAATGACTCTGTATAATAGTCCTTTAGAAAAAAAAAGCTTCGGTATTTCAGAAAATTTTTCACTAAAAATAGATTGTGTGTGCTTCCAAGAAGGATAACATTAAACATGAATGGCTCTATTATAATAATAATAATAATAATAATGTGGAAGCTAAAGCAAAGGACCTCTTCAAGGGGGGCTCCTTGGCATGGTGAAGAGGCTCTTGGTCTGAGGAATTAGACCTGTTGGTCTCCTTCCTCAGACCGAACCTAATTACCCCCCAATCCCCCCTTTCCTATCCCATCCTCCCCTTTTTCCTTTCCTCCTCCCCGCCCCTCCCTTTTGTCCTTCCTCTTTTTGGCCTTCGGGATTTTTCCCACAGGCACGCTAGTTCCTAGGTAGGGGAAAGGGTACCGGGGTCCATCCCATTCCGTTGAGGTTCTTGGCGGTGGCGTAGTTTGCTGTGGAATCTGGATCGCCTGGGGATGCCCCGATCCCTCTCCGGTATCCCGGAGGGCGCCTTTGGGTGTCTTTTGGGCAATGGGTGTATCTCTGGAAGCCACCTTTTGGATTCCGGGGTTAGTGGCCGAAGGAGGTATGCTTTGTGGCAGATATCCAGCCGCCCTCTCTTCTGTCCACCGAGGTAGCTCGGCAGATGTGAGGGCTATCCCGGATTGCTGGTTTACTGGCATGAAGGGTAGGGTATGGCATGGGTTCCATACTGCATCTGCGCTACTTGCGGTGCTGAGGTCCTCTTGGGTGCAGAGGGAGATTTCTGGCCCTTTCATTCCTCCTAGGAACTATCCCTCCCCGGTCTCCCATTGTTTTTATTCTTTTTTTATTTTTATTTTCTTCTCTTTTTTTTTCTTAAAAACAAAAAGAAAGAAGTAACGTAACCTTGGAGTTCCCAATCCATGACCCCGGGCCCCTTCTTGTTACCGCACCCCGTTCTGACCTCGCCTCGTCTTTTGACCACTCTTCGGACACTCCTAAGGCCCCTGTACCTCTTGCTGGTGCTGTTTCGTCACCCGCTTCAGGTGCCAGGGTTTCGACTGACTCCTTCAATTTGTCTGACCTCCACTCTCCTTTGACTATGCTTCCGGCCTCTCCCTCTACGGTGCGGCAATTTTCGAATCGCCTGCCCGTCCCATGTCAGACCAACTCCGGTCCCACTCCTAAACGCCAATGACAATTGCCTGATGATACTTCTTTGCCACCTTCTCGTTCTACTCAGAAAAGACCGACACGTTGTACTCTCCCTTTACATGCTCAGTTTCAGAATGCACAATGGACTAAATTCTTTACTTTACGACTGACTTCCTCTATTGCCTATCTTTCTAACCATAGTATTGGCAAGGCGCTCCTCCGCCATGTTGGTAGAGATACTTCCTTTCATGCAATTACGAGTGGTACACGCATCATCACAGTCCAGAATGCTACTCAAGCTCATGATCTTTCTCTTCTTTCACATATCGATACTATTCCTATCGCTATCGAAAAACATCATTCCCTCAATTCTTGTAGTGGTACTGCCATTCTGCCCCATACCATAGTCCAACAGAATTTCCAGACATGTGGCAATGACATTCTCGAACAGCTGGAATGCCAAGATCTCCCAATTCTCAAGGTAGACACTTGGGTTCTTCCTGCCCGTGGGCGGAGACGATACCCTTGCAGTGTGGCTCGTTTAACTTTTGACATTCGTGAACTCCCATCCTCTTTTTATGTAGCAGGACATTAGTTACAAGTTTGAAAGGTGATCCTACACCGCAACAGTGTAGAAATTGCTGGCGATTTGGCCACCCAGCAAAGTATTGCAGTTCTATAGCCGAATGCCCAGTCTGTGGTGCCGATGACCATTCTAATACGTCTTGCAGTTGACCTCCCTCTTGCCTTAATTGTCTTGAGGCTCACCCTTCGTACTCTCGCTGTTGCCAGGTCTACTTAAATGAGCGGGAAATTCGTTGCCTCAAAGAGGCAGAAGGTCTCCCTTATGCTATGGCAGTTTCTCATCTCTGCCTCCAAGGGAGACTACCCCGTGTTTCTTATTCTCGTGTTTCAAAACGTCCCCCCACTTCTGGGGTCCCATCTTCTGAAGCCTCCTCTGCGGTTGCTCCTCCCATAGTCACTCCTGTATCTAATTCTTTTGCTGTCCTGGGCTCAGACGTCCCTACTTCAACACCTCAGTCTGTTCTCACTTCTTTGTGTTCTCCCTCACAAACCCCGGTATCGACAAGACTTCGTATGACACCTCCCAATCGTCCCTCTACTTCTGAGGTCCAAAAAATCTCCTTTAACCCCTCCTTCCCTTCTTCCACCCCTTCATTTTACCTTCCCGGTCTCTGTACCTGGGTCTTCCCCTCTCACTGGCTCTGTTACAAGTGTGGAGGTTCACCCTCCTCATACTGTGCCTCCCTTCCCTGTCCCCTCCCAAGTATCTTCCTCTTCTGCCACCTCCCAGGTTTCTGCCTCTTCTGTACCCTCCCACACTTCTCCAGTTCCCTCCACCCTTTTGCCCCCCCCCCACCCTACCTTGGTACAGTTCCAATCTTTACTCAAACTCCTCCTCCTTCCATCTCCAATATTGTCTCCCATACGACGTCTCTGAACTCCAAAACACTTGAAGCAATCTCTGAATATATTGCAGAGACCAAACCGTCAATGGACACTGATCCATGCTCTGTTCCTTCTCTTTCCTCTTCTCCATCTGCGCAACTTCTTTCTTCACAGCGCACCGTTCCTTCGCTGCTTGAACATTTTCCACTGCCACCGCATGTGGACTTTTCTAACCCCTCTAGTCTGTAGGTACCCTTACCTGCGGATTTCTAGTATCTTTATCGTTGCCAATCATGGCCTATTTACACTGGAATATACACGGCCTCAGGGGTAATCGGGGTGAGCTTCAGATGTTGCTCTCCCAGTTTTCCCCTGTTGGTGTTTGCTTACAAGAACCAAAATTATACTCTGCTGTTATCTATCCCATCTCAGGCTGTAATTTATTGTATTCTTCGGATCCTTTTCCTGATGGGACCTTTAATGAAAGTGCCCTTCTTCTACGCACTGATATTCTGTACCATCAGCTATTTGTTCGTACTTCGCTGCATTACACAGCAGCCCGTATCCACTTCCATAGGTGGTATACACTCTGTTCTTTGTATCTCTCCTTCTCGGGGATTATCTATCCCGGATATTGCCTTTCTTGTTTCGTCATTACAGTCACCACTTCTGTTACTTGGCGATTTTAATGCCCATCATTCCCTCTGGGGGGGGTCTCACTGTGATTCCCGTGGCATTCAGTTAGAGGCTTTTCTTGCTTCCCACCCCCTCCATGTTTTAAATACAGGTACTCACACCCATTTTGATTCTCATACTCATACTCTCTCTTGCATCGATCTCTCAGTCTGCTCTTCCTCCGCCGCACTAGACTTCACCTGGTCTGTTCTCCCGGATTTACATGACAGCGATCATTTTCCAATTGTTCTTATTTCCCCTTCATATTCATCACCTCTTCGTAACCCACGCTGGCAATTTGATCAGGCAAATTGGGACCTTTACTCACAACTAACTTTTTAGTGAGGTTCCTTCTTCGTCCTCCATTGATGATCTTTTACACCTCTTCTCGTCCTCAGTTTTAACCGCAGCTTCTCATTCTATACCCCAAACCTCGGGCAGGCATTCTCAGAAATGCGTGCCTTGGTGGACTCCTGCTTGTGCTCGTGCAGTTTGTTTGAAACGTGCTGCGTGGGGCAGGTACCGGTACAATAGAACCACCAAGAGACTTCTTGATTTTAAGCAGAAGCGTGCGATCACTTGCCGTGTCATCTGTGATGCTAAACACACTTGCTGGCAAGATTATGTCTCCACCATCACCTCTGTTTCCTCTATGAGTGCAGTTTGGAAATAAGTACGGAAACTGAGTGGTAAATATTCTCCTGACTCGGCTCCTGTTCTGCGGGTTGCCGGTGTTGATATAGCAAACCCTCTAGATGTTGCCATTGAAATTGGCAATCATCTGGTCCGTATTTCTCTGGGGCTCCATCTATGCCCCTCGTTCCTTCCCTCAAAGTCTGCCAGAGAGTTAGCACCCTTGGACTTTTCTTCTCTCAGAGAAGAACAGTATAATGTGCCTTTTACACTTCAGGAACTGGAGGCAACACTCTCAGCTTGCCGATCATCGACAGCTGGGCCCGATGACATTCATATTTGTATGTTACAACATTTACATCAGTCAGCCCTTGCAGTCCTCTTACGCCTTTTCAATCTTATTTGGTCACAAGGAGTTCTTCCACAGCTGTGGAAATCTGCCATTGTTCTCCCTTTCCGCAAACCGGGTACTACGGGACATGAAGCCTCCTACTATCGTCCCATCGCTCTTACCAGTGCAGTTTGCAAAGTCATGAAACGTCTGGTAAATAGATGTTTAATGTGGTATTTAGAAACACACAACAGTCTCTCCACTCCTCAATATGGCTTTTGTAAGGGCCGTTCTACCATAGACCCCTTACTACGCTTGGATACGTATGTTTGTAATGCCTTTGCAAATAACCACTCAGTTATTGCCATATTTTTTGACCTTGAGAAGGTATATGACACAACTTGGAGGTATAATATTTTGGCCCAAGCCCACTCCTTAGGCATCCGAGGCAATCTACCATTTTTCCTTAAGAACTTTTTAACTGACAGACATTTCCGTGTTCGAGTCAATAATGTGCTCTCCCCGGACTTTGTCCAAGCTGAAGGTGCTCCTCAGGGATGTGTTCTGAGCACAACACTTTCTCCTTGCTATAAATGATTTGGCCTCTGTTCTTCCATCCAATATTTGGTCAACACTGTATGTAGATGACTTCGCTA